GTCCGATATTTTCCACCGTTGGATTTGACATATATGTTAGTTCATTTTTTGGATTTCGTATGCATGCTAAAGTCATAAGGCTTTGAAAATAATTTATGACAAGTTGTCTTAAGTGTTTTAAGTTATACATATGCACAATTTGATTTTTTGTGTTCGTCTTGTTATCTTTCGGAAAACTCTGTTAAGTATTATCGGAAGTGCAAACCTGCGAAACTCTTATATTTTTGTGTGAAACACGTTTTACAGTAAATGTGACATTTTCTCTACAATTTAAAATCAGCACTGGAACTCTTTTTTTTCGAATCTATAAAATAATAAAATTTCGATGACGTATAGCCGTGCCTTTCAATTTGTATGTATGTTCAAATATTGTACACTTCTTACAGTTTTCAAGGATTTAAACTTATTCAACAGACTTCTGATATATCCACTTTTGTTCAGGTTAAACTTGACTCTTTATATTGCTGATGACACGCGTATATTTAAACTAGCAAAACTTTTACTTCGACACTCGAAGTAGTAATAACTAAGTTATTCGATATAAATATTTATTTTCACTGTTAATCACTTGGCATATTCATAGTTTTAAAAACAAACAATGTTTTTTAGCCTGAATTATGAATTGTTATGCTTTTAACTAATTTTTACAAAATTATAATATTGAACGGAAGAATACTAAATATATTTATTCTTATATATTTTGTAAATCATATTAGCTGTTTGGTACAGAACGCCTTTAACAAAGATTTAGTAGACCAGTTGTTACTAACATCGTTGATTATATTATATCGTGGGACAGCTGATCTCCAGCGTCTTGGTTTACTCACTCCTTTTGGCCACCCAGCATACCAAATCGATGATCTCCGTGTCAATTGTCATCCGTGTAAACTTCATTGTCATAAGTCAGTCAGCCAGTTTTATGTGTCATTTATTTTTCTGTAGCAAGCGCCTTCCCTTTAATGGTAAATTGTTCGGCCGTTGTACGTCATAGTTTTTAATATTTATTGTTGTACCTTTGTGCTCAAGTTCTTGTACCCTTGCACGCCACCAGTGATTGGACCCTGACCATCACTAAATATCTTCATTGCCGTAGTCGCTTCTCACCTGCCATTACGTGCCTGGATCTACACTCTGACTCGTCACACTCAGATGTTTGACACTATTATCACAAGATCTCATACAGTCTCAACAACTTCATCTATTCAGCTGAGTTTATATTATCTTTAATGTTATTTATTGTTTGTTTTAATTGAGATTAACTATTTTGTTTTATACCGCTTGGCCGGCCATAAGTATTTAAGGGCCCCTCGTTACCCTTTAATTTTAAGATACTCTCTGAAGAATTCCTAATATACTTACTAACAAATTTTGTCCTATAGTTAAAGTATTATTGAGGCTTAAAATGACGAAATAACATAGAGAAAATTGTGTTCCCTTCATTATTTTGTACGTTCCACATATTAAAATAAGTGCTCATGTTACATTTAAGAATAGATACTTTATATATTACTGACCATTGTGCGAATATGTTCAACAATCGGTCGAGAGAAACTTTGTGCAAAAATAATTTAAGCTCTAAATACTACGCATATTAAATTTCTAGGTGATACTTTTAATAATGGTTACTCAAATGTCTCTTAAAATAATTATTATTTTAAGAAAATTAATTTTGGTATTTTTAATTTCATATATCTTGATTAATCAGTAATTTTTTAACCAACCTATTTTACCTTAGAAGAGTGTCTTGAACTTTATTTTGTAAATGCCAACATACGTATTTAACTAGCTTATAAAATAAAAAAACGAAATTCAGGTATTCAAATTTGATATTCTTTGAAATGTGTTACCACAAAAAAATATTTTGACATAGTATGAATATAGAATTAAATTTATATTTGTTGTTTCCTAATAGTCAATTGACATTTTTCGGACATAATAAACACATTAATAGCATTTGGCTTAAAACTAATAGCCTAATGTACAGACTCCGGTAGTAAGTAAATAATGTCTTTTATATTCGGTAACATATAAATTATAAATATTTTAATCGTTGATTTTATTTAACATTGTTAAATTAAAAAACCAATTAATTTATTTTTTGTTTAATTAGAAATAGAAGATGTATATGAACAATTCATCATCTCTTATACTTAGAACTTGTGTAAATTTCAGATTTTCAAATGGCAATCCCTTATTATTTTTATATAAATTTTTTTCGTCATAAAAAAAAAA